CTAGAGAAACCTTAAAAATGAGTTCCTGGCCATAACAGGATGGGAGGTCAGACAGGCCTTGTTACACCCCCTCCCTCATTAACACCATCAGGCTTTCTTCCCTAAGTGTTAAACAGAACAGCCTTTGGAAATATTTGTCCCACCAGTGATTCCAGTCATCCGCTAATGCTGCTCCTGCCTTGTTGCAGTATCAGCACAACTGGCCAACATCCTTCCTGATAAGAGACCACTGACCATGGAGTGGTTCTGGCCAGTCTATGGAGGATGCACAGACAGGGTTTTTATGTCCTCTGCTACACTTTTTGATATCAGAGGGCTGAAAACTCGACCCTTGGATCATGCTAATGCTGCCATTTTCTGAACATGGATCCTATGAAGCTGCTTAGAGCTCATTTGTGCATGTTTCTCCTTTCATAAATATTCATGACTCCTCCTATGGCTTGTTAAGTATGTATAATTGGCCACCCCACTTAGCATAAATTCCTGTTCCCATTGTTCCTCTGTTGAAGTACAGGCTCTCGCTCCTGCCCAAGGCAGTTGCTTTGCAGCCAGTCAGAATGGCCACCCTGCAGGCTACAACCCTTTATGAAAAATCTCTCCTTTCCAAATTTATGAAATCCGTCATTTTCTTCAGTTGACGGTATTAAAAAGGTTAGTATTTGGCATGTGAACTACATTAGCAAACAGTGAAACAAAAGAAAAAATTCACCTACATACCTGTCACCTGAGCAAATCACCGTGTGATTTATATTTGTATGTATAATAAAAGGAGACACAATTGATGTTTACTGAGACCCTGTGACATATCAGTCCTTGAACTAGCTATGACCAGGTGATATCTGTGTTTTTAGAAAATGAAATTAAGGCTTGGAAAAGGTAACTAGCTGAGTGTGGACCATCTACCATGATGGTAAATTGATATGTGAACAGGGCTCCATTTTGTGAAATATTTGCTTTATTTTTGTTTGCAAGCTAGATTTATTGGTTTTATTATTAACCACAAAGACTGAAATTTGTGGTATTAGTCTTTTGGGGGTCAATATGTCAGGTTTCAGTCTGAAATGTCGGTTCTTGATGTGCTCATGGCCAAAGAATGACGAGACGCACCAAAGTAAGGCAAACACGAAAATAAGGTTTATTGAGGAGAGAAAGATAGGATTATAGAGCAAGAGCAACATATAGGTTTACAGAGAGAGCATGATACATACGCCACAGATGATGACTGGACCCGTTGTTGCAGCAAAGGGAGAGCAAAAGGAAGGGCAAAAAAGGAGTTGGTTATGATCTGCATCTTGTTTTGTAGTACCTGAATTGGCACCTCCCTCGTGGTTCAGAGGTCACCATGGAACCACTTTGGACAGTTGGGAGTTGCATTATCTGAGTCTTACTGTGCATGTGGGGTGTTCTAGGTCACTTCTGGACTCTATGGTACCTATGCTGCTTGGCCAGTGGGCTAGAGAGTCCTCTGCATTCTTTTGCAGTTGGTGTGCTAAGTTCTGATTGGCAGATTTGTAGAGTGTTCCCTCCTCCCTCAGGTATGGCAGTAGCTCAGGGCAGGATCAAGGTGGGGCAGGACCAAGACGGGGACCCAGACCCACCGTTGTCCTTCTTTCCATGTGGGGCAATTGCACTAAGGCAAAGCACCCACTTTCATCCCTAGGAGACCTGGAATCCCTTGCTAACTATCTAACAATTACATGCTTTGAGAAGTACCACAGCCAGACTTTACACTGTTAAATGGAAAGCACTATACTTGCTGTAGGGGAGGGAGAAAATCTTTTTTCACTTTATCCATCTTAGGGTCTCCAGCTGGGTTTCTGTAAATAAGACTGGCAAAGACAGATTAACAAGAGAAAAACAAACAGAAGTTTATTAACATGTGCATCGCACATACACATGGGAGCACCCAGTGATGAGTACCTCAAATGAGTACCCAATATGGTTAGAACTTGGCCTTATATACCATCTTGGGCTAATCAAAGGAAAAGGGGTTTTGGGCTTCTGGATCACAGAGGGAGCTATGGGATGGTGACCAGGAAAAGTATGGTAAACAAGAATTGCTTAGTAAGATTTGTTTTTCAGATTGAAGTCAGTGCCTTTTCCATTGATAAGAGTTGTTAAGAGTCCTCCACTTCCTGCTACAAGAGAGGAAGAGACCTTTTACAAATGGAAATTTCCTTTATAAATGTAAATTTTCTTTACAAAAGGAAAACTGTGCTTTATGTTTAGAGCTTTTCCTGCATCTGCTGGTTCTCCATGGCCTTTAGCTCAAAATAATCCATGTGCTAAAGAGGCATATTTTGGGGTGACATATTCTGGTACCCTTCCCTGTTTTGTTCTTTTATAGTGGTTATGCTGCAGAGGAAAATGCTCTCCTTCCTTTCCAAGTTCATTAAGCCGAGCTGAGAAGCTGTTCAAGAGATGCTTAAAATTTTTTAATGTTTGTATTTGTAACTTTTTATAAGTATATTTTATGTCTTTAAGTGATAGTTGATGAAATTAATAAATTCTTTGTTCACAAAGTATTTATTCAGTGGTTGACTACAAAGCTCTTAAGGATATGCCCAATGACGACACCTATTTGAACAAAGATCTTAGAGGAGCTTGACTAGAGTTCGGTCGTCAAGGAAGAGACTCTTTGTCATGCCAGTGGGCTCAGAAATTGTAGATGGTCACAGTTGAGAGACCTTGAAGGTGGTCACTCTCAATTCTCAGAAAAAGAACCATCCCATATGCTTCCAACCCCATATAGCACTCCCCTCAGTGTTTGTTATAAATGGGATTCTATCTCCAATAGTGTGTGAGCTATTGGATACCTGGAGGGCAATTTCAGCCTTTCTTCTTATTGCTCTGCTTCATAATGCCCTGCCAGGCTGGCCTACCTCTGAATCATTTCAGGTTTCGAAGGAAGGGAACAGTAGCAGACTGGCCTGGATCTTCCTGAGCTCATGGGACGAGTTAAGAGCCTTGGGTTAGGAAGTAATCCATGTCCCAGGCATGGAAAAAAGTGCAATGAGGTGGGAGGAGGGAGTAGCGGTCTTTCTGGCTGGAGCTTATAAGTAGCCATGCTGTACATTGTATTAACTATAAGGGAAATTTTTATAAAACAAATATATTTGCCTACAGGTTTTAATTTTAACATAATAAATATACTTAGCAAATAATCAATAACATGCAGTAAAACAGTAAATAAAATAAAATCAAACCTTTTTCAGTGGTGACTCATCCTTAACACATATTAACTCACCTTTAAAATGGCATCCATTTCACTAAATTTTATAAAATGTAGCAGATTGTAATTAGATTCTTTTAGAGAAGAGCTAATTTAGTGACTTGATCTCCAAACAATGAATGTCTGTGGAAGGCAATTTCATTTATCTTACGATTTTTAATGATTGTGTTTAGTATGAAAAATGTCAAATTAGATGTGCCCTTTCATTTGGGATTATTTTAACTTTTAGGATTTTTGTTCTCTGTTCACCTGATTATTGGGAATGTTTTGAAAACATTAGACTTTTGAAAAAGTTAAGCTTTTTCATCTCTCTATAATAATAAATATTCCTTGCAATTTTAAAACTCAAGTGTCCATCTCTGTTGGAGTTTGTGTTAGACTACAAGAGCCTGGGGTTTATAGCCCAGATTCTGAAAGGAAACTGTAGCAACGTTAGGTTGCTAAGCAAATCTCTTAGCTAATTAAACAATGTACCTTGAATTATTCTGACCGCCTGTGCTGGTCAGTCATAATGGATCAATTAAAAATGACACTCACTTTTAGGTTTGTCAAAACTTAAATTACAAATAAATGAAAGTATAGACATCCTATTTTTAATAATTAAAAATAGAAAATAAATAAAAATATAATTCTGTGAAAAATGTTCAAAACAACCTAATATGAAATAAAATGGAATATTTAACCAAACATATATTACATGAAGTATTATGCAATTGTACTAATTGAGGCTTTGTATACAATTTAACACATACTATATTTTAGTCAAATTGCAAATCATAGCTTTCTCTTTTATACAAATCAGCAGAAATAGGCACAGCTTAACATACTCTTTTCATAAGCATTTTCATCCTGTTATTGCTTTTCAAAATAAAATTGAGACAGAAGGAAGCCTGTTTAGCTTATCCAGATTATAATTAATTCTGCCACTTGGGTATATTCGAAAATGAGAGCTAGACCCTCTAATGAGAGTTGTAAAGTATAGTCATGGACCAGGTCCCAGACTATTGAAATAATTTATTTTTCTCTTTAGAGTTACATCAATGATTAAAAACAAAGGCAAAGGTGGGGGCAGGGACTAAATGAGTAAGTATATAGCCAAGGAACAATTTCAAGCCTGTCAACTGCATCCTATTATATATTTCAGTTATGCTAATCCTGAAGTTCCTGTAAGAATCCGTTTTTCATTTCCTACTAATTTTTATCTTCTCTTTGTGTTATTTTTTTTCATCTAATTTTCAGAAATCTGCTCTTTGAATAGAAAATCATATTTTTGCTTAGCCAAAAGGCACTTGATTTTAACTTACTTTCACTAATCATGTTTGGAAGAAAAGTAAAATCTCTATAAAGGACAAATCAACTAGTATTTGTGGTTTAGAGCCTTATAGCTTTATTTTATCAAATCTTCATTTTTCCCTTTTGCCATCTGATATTTTAGTTTTTACTTCAACTTTTAATTGAAGTTGCTATTGTCGATTCTCGAACACATTTTACTTCCTAGTCTTTGAGGCTTCAACAGTATGAAAAAACTTGAAAACATCTAGAACCGTTGCTTGTTGAAAGAGCCTTGTGTAGAATGTTCTGTGTCAACAGTAAAACTCTCCAAGCTGCCTCCGTGGGATCCTAAAGCTTTAGCATCATGAAGACCCAGAGCATGCTTTTTTTTGCATTTAGCTCAGTGTATTCTTTTTTCTTGTTTTATTCAGCTGGAATGCTTACAGATTCCTCTGCAAACTTCTAAGACTGAGACCCTGAGGAACCCAGCTGGAGAATGCCGTCTGAATGCTGCCTCAGGTACACCCTGTATAATGTGTCCCTGCTTAGTGTCCTGAGCCCGGACATTGTTGCGCTGCCCATTCCAGGACCCAGCACAGAGTAGGGGGCGCTCAACACATATTTGAAGGAATAAACAGACTAGTCAGAGCTTTTGTGAATTTAATATGGAGGCACAAGGACTAACTGCTATGACCTAGTTACTGGTCAAACCTACAAATGATTGATGATTCTTTATATGACACTACTTTTTAATATCTTAGGATGCTCACCTCCCTCGAACAAAAGATATACTACTATAAAGATATATAATTAGAAAAAAGAATCAGAAAACTACATACATATGAATATTGTCCCCTTTAAAGTAATCCCTTTGAGGAGTCCAGTGCTTATTCTCAAGTATTTCGTGGATATTTATTAGAGTCAAGCACTCTGGTGCAGGGGATCCAGCTATGAATAAAACAGATATGGTCCCTGCCCTCTTAAAATGTGTATTCTGTGAAGGAAACACATATTAACAAATAATCACACCAGTAATGAAGCAAATCTAGTTGTGAAAAGTGCTCTGAAGGAAAAGTACAGGATAGAGAGAGGAAATGCCTTCCTGAGGAAGTGCTCTCTAACCTGAGATTTGAAGAGGAAATGCCCTGAGGCAGGAGGGAGCTTGGCACATTCCAGAAAGTGGGGGGCAGCCAATGAGAAAATGGATGAGGTTTGTTTGAATATTCTCACCGAGGTAAATCTGAGTCATCCTCCAGGGAACAGTCAAAAGATCTTCAGAGCAAAGAATAAGAGATGTGATAAACCTGGGGAATATATATTTTTAAAAGAATTGGGCCTGTCTATTAAATAATGAGACCAGCTTCCTTCCTTCCATGACTCTGAAGCTATTAGAGATGACTAGTTCCAGAAATGTGTTCAGAAATGGTGACATTGCTATACCAGGTGTAACGCCTCTGCATCCTCTATGTGAGTCTGTTGCTCTCCATCAGTGATTTTCAATGGAGGATGATTTTGCTACCAGAGCACATTGTGCAATGTCTGACAACATTTTTGCTTGTCACTGGGAGTAGTAGGGGTACAATTGGCCAGGAACTCTGCTAAACATCTTATCAATGCATAGGACAGCCCCCCCCCCATGAAAAAAAAATCGATCTAGCCAGAATATCAGTGGTAGCAAGGCTGAGAAACCCTGCTCTAGATCTGGCCTCCAGCCAGTATAGCACATGGAGACCATGGTATCTGTCTGCCACCACCTCAGCCAAGTTATTTATTTCTGGCTACCAAGATTAGTGTGCATCCTTAAAATGATTTTTTTTTTTTATTTTAAGTCTGCCATCCTTGTTTTTATTAATCAGCTCTCATCCCACCATCATCTGTCCTCCACAGCGGAATCATTTCTATAATGGTCTCTCCTTCTATGCTTCAACCCAGATCCCTCCCTTCCCACCTCTCAGACTCTCCCACTGTGTCATGTGGAATGTAGCAATATGATTATACACTCTGCTGTATCATCTCCTTCCTCCGAAAAGGCTCTGTTCACGTCCTACTTCACTGAGACCTGTGGTCCCCTGAAAACCACTTCCCTTATAGCTCTCTCAAGTAGTGGCGGTGTTATTTCCTCACATCTCATGTATTTCAGGGATGCCTAGAGAGATTGTTGTTACCTTGGGACGTAATTTTGCTTCTAGATCATTACTCCTCAACGTGGTTGTTCAGGAAAGCCACAGCAACAAAAACAACGAAGACATGCTCTTCCGAAGGTGGTGGTCTTCATCTCTCTCACCCTCTCCTCTTCCTACTGTGGTCAGCCTCATTGCCCCTCTTGTACTGAGCACTGTGCACCTGGCTTGCCATCTTCCTCCCTTTCACAAACCCCTTAAAACCTCCCAGGGCCCTCAGTGTCAGCATGGAAGATCTGTCCAACTTCGTGGTCCTGAGACTCTCAGTCTGCTTATCTCCAAAGACTTTCTCTTTCAGCCACCTGCTGCCATGGTCACACCTTTGTCTTTGTCATCCCCAGTAATTGGCTCTATTTCTGAAATCACTGCATCAGCCATATTACTCTTAGCACGGCCGCCTGTCCTTCTAGCTTGCCGATGTACCTCTTCTCACTATGATTGTGCTTTGACCTTACTGCATTGTCTCATTTACCGGACCTGCTACTTTCTACCAACCCACCAATCCGTTCTTTCCCTCATTTCCCTTCTTAACTAGTTTAGATTCTATCACTTTTGCTTAGATTCTATCACTTCTTGAGAAGACCCTGAGGACTAAGATAAAAGTCTTGAACCCTTCCAACAGACTAATGGACCCTCTTTTGGCTAAAAACACCAAATCATAAAGTGTTTGGCATGGCAGGATGGGAGAGTGGTCATGTCTCGTTTATTTTCACCCCCAACGTGTTACTAATCATTACTAGACTTTATCAGAGGCTGGCTTGAGAGAAACAGAAGGCCGGAAGATCCCTCCTTACTTCATCTGGCCACCCGGCGCCATCCTTCTGCTTTTATGGTTCTGAAATGTCAACTATTCTGCACCACGAAGCATATTTTCTTGATGGATGACTGCCAGTCGAAGAGTAGTTTTGGCCTGTCTCCTGAGGATGTGTAGTTCATGGACTTGTGCCCTAAATTTTACCCTTTTATGTATAAGACCTACTTATAATTCAACTAAATGTTAAATCTCCACCCCCAACAAGAACATGGGCAGTATATTTCCATATGTTACTTGCATGTAAACCTCATGCTCATCTGTATGGGTTTCCTCCATGAATATTCATGAACTTTTCCTATATCATGTATACCCTGCCACCCCATCTAATATATATACCTATTTCTTTCTTTCCTTTGAAGCATGGCTTTATGGTTTTGGTGGGAGGCTCGCTTCCTGCCTATAGGATGCAATTCCCTTAGAAATAAAGCTCTCCTTTTAAATTCACTAACTCTGTGACTCTTTTACATTTGACAATCCTAATCCGGATGAACCTGACTATTCATTGTTCCATGCCTACATTGTCTAGTGGAGACTGGTTCCACAATATCTTTAGATTCAACAAACCAAACAATGCTGAGTTTTAGTATGTGTTTCTGGTCCGCTTATTCCCTGCTACTCAAGCGACGGTCCTTTTCCACAACCAAGCCCAGTCCTGCTTCTGTGATTTGAATCCTATCTTCCTTATCTTCTCAGCAGCCTGTGCCTGCTAGTCATCTCTAGCTGTGTTCTTGAGACACAGCTGTGCTTCCGTAACCCACTCTATGCAGATGAGTCACAGATTTACATCTCTAGCCAAGACTTCTTTCTGAGCTCCAGATCCATGAATCAAACTACATATTTGACATCTGTGCTTGGGTGTCTTAAACACAACTCACACTTAACATGTCCCAAACCAGATTCATCATCTTTCTCTTCTGCAATTCTAATCCTTTTCCACTGGTTTCCTATTCTGAGACTATCAAATTGCATAAGCCAGAAATGTAGGTGTCTTCCTGGAAATCTCCTTCCCACTCACCTCCATATCTGGTCCATCACCAAGGCCTGTAGATTTTCCCTCTAAATAGCTTTCACACCCGTTCACCTCTCTGAAACTCTGTCCCCATGCTCCTGTCCAAGGTCCAAGTCCATCACTCACCTAACTACAGCCACAGTTGAGGTCTGCGCTAGTCTGCCACAGGCTCCTTGACTGCTCTCAGTACTGAAGCCTGAGTGACCTTTTCTGTGACTTCCCGTTGCTCTTAGGGTAATCTGGCCCAGGAGTCCTGCACAGGTGGGCTCTGGCCTCTGATGCTCACCTGTACCACGCTCTCCTTTGTCTTCAGGGTTCTGGCTGTTAACATTCCGTGGACACTGTGTAAGGGCCGTGTTCTGTCCTGCCACAGGATCATAGCATTTGCTGTTCTCCTGCCTGGAAAACCTTCTCTTCCCTTTTTGCGAGGGTAACTTGGTCTCATTCTTCAGTCTGCAGCTCAAGTATTACTTCTTCAGGAAGGCCAGGTTATTTGATTAATGTGTAACTTCCCTTCTAAACTGAATGTTCCATGAGGGCTGCTACCACATGTGGTTTACTCAGCGTTTTACCCCCAGTACCTAGCACAATACCTGGCACAGGCTGAATAAATATTTGTTGCATGAATGAATGAGGGAAGGAAGGAAATAAAACTGTTCATTTATAATTAATTTCCTTTCTGTATAGTCATCTTTATTGCTTAATCATTCTCTAAGCATGTTATATCTTCTTTATTATTATACCATTGCTATTAATTGTTAGCATTCATTTAAAAGTATTTATAAATTATAAAGTATTCTATAAAAATAAAAGTAAGTTTTATTGCAGGATGTTTTAATTGCCTGCCCACTTAAATAGACTTTTAAAAGTATTAATTTATGTAATTTGTATAAAAATATTTTGACTATATAATTGAAGTGATTAGAACACTCAATAGTTCACCCATAGACTTAATTGAGATAATCATGCATAATTCTATTACAATCAGATTTTTTTGTCCAGTCTTTTTCTTTCTTGCATAAAGTAGTCTATTTAAGAAATGAGGATTTTTATGCTGCTTGACTGTTTTTGATATGTAAATATGTAACACCTTTTTGGTAGTTTTACTTGAAAACTACTTGCATACTTTTTGTATATCTCAGTAGTAGGTAAACATTGATACAGAAATTGACTCAAATTTTTAAATTTGAATGCAGATGTTTAAAACCATATAGTTGTTTTGGAATTTACGTCTTAAAAACTGAACTCATTGAAAATTTATTCTATGAAACTGAGACCCTGTGGGATTTCTGTGACAAAAAAATGTTAACTCTAGGAACTCAAAGTAGTGATTTTTCACTAAAGCAGTGAGTCTCTCTGAGTAGAGCATACAACGCTACGAACATCATGCTCTGCATTTGATTTATTAGTTTTTGTGATCAATTCCAGAATGAAAGTTAAAGGCTTAATTAACATCATGAATAGTCCTGTTCCTTGAGACCTCATTTATTTATCTCCCCATTACTTAATATTGACATAAGGCTGATCAAATGTTTGCTCCTTGGCATTACTAAAAAGCAATCTGCTGCTCGGGGAGTCTGGGGCTTTCTGCTGTTGCACCAGGGCCTAGTCTGGGCCCTGCTACATACAGAAGCCACAGTCCTCATTGGCAGCCTGATGGGGGTCACCTAAAGCCCTTACGAAGTTCAGGTGGAAAGAAATAGAGTGATATATCACACTGTGAACTTGTAGACTGTCCAATAGAACCATAATTAGGAAGGATATATATAATCTAAAATTTCAAGAAGCCACATTTAAAAAAAGGTGAAAAGAAACAGGTAAAATTAATTTTAACAATATATTTTATTTAACTCAATATATCTCAAATATTGATATTATAAATTAAATGTGCAATTAATACAAAAACATAAATGAGATATTTTGCATTCTTTTCTTCATATCGTCTTTGACACCCAGTGTGCGTTTTATACTTACAAGCACATCTCAGTTTGGACTAGCCATATTTTGAGTGCTCAATAGCCACACATAGCTAGTGGCCACTGTATTGGACAATGCAGTTCTAGGGGATCCCTCAGAGAAAAGGGTAGTGGGTCGCATTGGGAAAGCCAGGACACTCTGCATTCACCTATGAATTTTCGAGGTGGCAGCATTGCTTCTATGGAAGACCTTTCCCAACTTTAGGATGACACTCAAATCTGTATTTCCTTGAGAAATGTGGCTCCTGCTTTATGTCTTTTTCCAGTAATTTAGAAGTTTCAGGATATGGTTTTCATTCCTTTTTCTTTGTTTCTTAAGTAATGGAGGGACATTGCTCTAAGTTGGGAGGTTTAGTTTGCTGATTCAATCTATGTTATAGGTGCCAAGGGAGCTGTTTGCAAGCATGTGTCTGCTCCCCATCTTAATTTAGATGTTGTACATTATAGTCTTTGATTCATCTCCTCCCTGGTTTATGATTATCAACTTGGTAAAATGGGCCTGTCGCCTTCCATCTGTGTTCTGTGGCCACATGTGCCTTAACATTTAAAAGGCTGAAGCCTTTTGCAGATTTACATCTGAGAGTTGAGTGGGAAGTTACTTTCAGAACACAATAATGATTTGTTGATTAATAAGCCTTAATTTCTTGCCAAATGTTGGAGTATTTGTTTCTGCTTTTAAGGATTCCTAACATATTGGTTCCAAAATATTTGGGATCTTGTGCAAGTGTTGTCTTAAATATTTAGCATGTTGTTTTCTTTAAGCTTGAATATTTCAAGCCCAGCTGAATGATCCTGTGAAATCGTGCAGCATTACTATTGTTTCAAAGCTGAGCCTTTTATTCTTTGCCAAATTTCAGTTTACAGCTGCTCTTTCCCTGGCAAGATTTATTCACGCTCAATAGACATCTAAAATGCAAATACTGATTCAGTCTTAATAATAAGGAGAGGAATTGTGGCACTATATTTGGAAAATGAGTAAGGAAACATTTTAAGACAATTATTTTAATATATTCTGTTCCACTACAAATGAAACTTCAAAATACATTTATTTAACATTTAAGGTGATATAAAAGGAGAGAAAAGAAGTTATGAAAGTTTCAAATACATTTTCTAAGGTTATAATAATTATGGTCTATTTTTCATCCTTAAACTTTTAGTCACAGTATGAAGATAAATGTTTTTGAAGCATGATATCAAACATTTCTTACTGCTATCTCATGTTATTATGTTCATGTTTGTTATTCTGAAAGGCCAATATTTAGATTAATTATACATAATATAAATTTTGTGATTCTTTCCCCTCGAACATAGATTTTTGAGATCTTTACAGATTACCTTTTTTTTTTATTGTAAACAGGAGAAGGAATTACATTATTGTATTCTTATTGATATGGTCTCAAAATGCCTAATTTGGACCTTCAGTTTTCTTATCTGTAAAATAGAGGTAATCATAGTACCTGCCTCGTAGGGTTGTTGTGAAGACTAAATGAATAAATCATTGTAAATCACTAAGAATAGTTCATGGATCATGGTAAACACTATGTGGTTGTTAAATATATAAAAATGGCATCATTTAGGAAAGATTTTTCAAAGACTATCCTAAAGCTTTTACTTAGCTATTATAGTATTTCTATTACTATTCTGCTTCTTCATTTCTTTAACTGAGTGGTGCTAATTAATATGCATTCTAGGCTTTGCATAGAATTTATAAAAAACTATACTTCTGAATGCAGTTTTCAATTACTGATTTTAAAAGTCTGCCATAGCTTGAGCCACTCCATGAATATTCAATGACAGTAACCATTTCAAAACTCACTGCTGCATTTCAACAGAAAATATATAATCCTCCCACCTTCCCATGAAAATTTCCTATGTCATCACCTTTTGTCAGTTTTATTTTCTTTTCATAGTTCTGACATTTCTGATGCTTCCCAGTCAACACTATGCAATAAAACTTGCTGCTCACCACACTTTGGCATTTTGTGGGAAGCATTTGGTTAATTTTAAGGTGGTGATTTGTGTTTAACTATAATTTACCAGCCAACTGGCACCACAGGCTGGGCAGAGCCCTGTCAAATAAACCAACCATACAGACTAGGCTGGTGGCAAATCTCTGGCTCCCCTGGGCAGCTCTTTCACATTCAAAGAGAGGGATTATCAGGGGAAGAGACCAGGCTTACTCATCCCAGGGATATCTTTACTCAGCTTTGAGTAGAGGCTGCTGGCTAGAAATAGGGCTTGATGGCCCTTGTTCTCATCCTGGGAGTACTTACTACTGGCACAGATCAGCCATCTTAGTCCAATACCAGTTCTGAGATCTTAGAGCACTTTAGAGATTTTCCTTGATCTAAGCTGGAATTGTCCATAGCTGTCTATAAATTCAGTTACATTTTATGTTTATGGCATTATTTTAGAAAAATCTAGAGTTTCACGTAGGAGTTTTGAAAGGATCTAAGGATAAATAAAGGTTTTAGATTGGGATAGAGATTGAAGGGGTAAGTTTCACAATGGGTAAGTTTAGCAATCTCACAAAATAGAAAATAAAATAGAATTGTATAGTCATTTATAAATCTAGTATAATGATCACACATAGACATTGAAGGCTGACAATATGGATAAATTTTACTTTCAGCTTTAAGTTGGTTTTCATTTACGATGGCATTTCTTTTGTTGTTCTTCTTGTGGTGCATAATTTCCCAAGTTTAATAATAAGCTGTTGTGGTTTAATTGTCTTCGACATGGAATGGTCACTTGCAGCCCCTTTTGTCCTAACTAAAGTGTTTGCTCAGTTTACTTGTATTTATTAATGGAGTATTGTGTCCTGTGGGAAGATGTGGTAAGGTACAAAGCTGGAGAAGGATTCAGAGAGTTAGAGAGGGGGTCACAGAGCAGGAAGGGTCACACGCACACACATACATGCCTTCAGACACACATCTAAAGAAAGTCTTGAACTCACAGATGTTTACATACTGAGGGGATCTGGGCCCAGAAAGAGAGGCTTACAGGTCCGCAGACCTGGGCTAGTACACAGACACAGATGGATACTCAAACACAAATTCAGAAAGAGGGGCTCTAGTAAAAGAGAACCAGACCCTATGGGGTGAAGAGAAGAGAGAACCAGAGAAAGGAGAGCAAGAGAATGGTAGAGAGAAAGAAAGTGGGGCACGGGAAGGTCCTGCTCGGCCAGTGCAGTCAGCCCGTGTCGCCGCAGTGGGTGTTGAGGGGGAGAGAGCATCGGGCAGAGGGACTGGTGAAAGGAAGAATGTTGACTTGATTGCTCTCCTTTGTAGTATTCAAGAAATGCTGACAGGCCAGAGGCTTTGCCACTCCGAATCTCACAATGATAGTGTCCTGGCAGCACTGAATCAGCAGAGGAGTGACGGCATCCTCTGTGACGTCACCTTGATCGCTGAGGAGCAGAAATTCCATGCTCACAAGGCAGTCCTGGCGGCATGTAGCGACTATTTCCGGGTAAGTCAGGGTAGTTTGGTCGATTCTCTTAAGGTATCAATAAACAGAGGATGACAGTGTTTCCGGAATTGCCCCTCAACCACAAAACAATTAGATGGTATCCCCCAGAGTCGTGAATGTTGGGGGCCTGTGTTCTTTCTTGGGCAGAATGTGATCTGGGGCCTGTTGGGGTGCTCCCTGGGCTGGCCACCTGGATAGTGCTCTGCTGGAGCAGACCTCCCCTTGCATCTGAGCCGAGGGGCCTTTGGCACTTGACCGCCATAAGAAAATGTGGCACCATAGTGCTCTGTATGGGGGTGTGCGCTAAGGGAGGGATATTTCTGGATTCAGGATCAGAAGAACAATCTGTAATACAATTTGTTAAAATAAAAATGTCCCTAAATACATGTAGTGTTTCTCACTTTTTATTTTCTATACGTGTTCTTAATGCTTTCTGATTATTTGCTCCAGGGACAGATTCAATTGGCCTAATGGACCTTTATGGTTGACACATGTGGCTGAAGAAGACACATTGGCTTGTTTAGTAGAACTTTGGAGTTTGGTTCCCAACAGCTAATGATACATGGTGATAAGGTTGTTGCTTTTATGAAGATGAAAGTGTACAGTATGGTTATAGCTGACTAAATGCCATGTATTTAGCACTTCCTGTGATTCAGGTGTTGGACACAGGACTTTGTATGTGTATCTCATTTAATCCTCACAACAACCCTTTGTACAAACATATGCATACTATTAAAATCACCATTTTGCACATAAGGAAACTGAATCTCAGAGGCTAAGTAATTTGCTATAACTCAGAGGTTAAATAAGAAGTCACACAATTTCTAAATGATAGATCTGGAATTGAAATCCATGTCTGACTCTTAACCAGCATGCTATTCTACCTCGTATATAAATATAAGAAAGCAAAGCTGGACAAGTACTAACCAGAATTTTTTGAAATATTTCTGAAAATATATATGATTTTAGTTTTTATTTAATTTCCTTTTCCATGTTATTTCAGTTAACTAATGAGTAGGTTATACTCTTGAAACATCACAGTATGAATCTCTGTATAAATGAAAATATAAATTTA